ACACTGACCACCACAACACTGACTGACCGACCACAACACTGACTGACCGCCACAACACTGACCACTGACACTGACCACCACAACACTGACCGCAACAACACTGACCGACAACACTGACCGCAACAACACTGACCGCAACAACACTGACCACCACAACACTGACCACAACACTGACTGACCTGACCAACAACCTGACCACAACACTGACCGCCGTAATATGGACGCAGTAAAGTATTGCAGTGGTACTGCAGAAATACAAGTGAATTAAATCGTCATTTAAACCACCAAAGCTCCAAACACAATGAAAACAGTTCAGACTACAAGTGACACTGGGCACAGCCATCTTGGATTCTATCTCAGAATCTTTGCTCGGTCCTCTCCGAGTTCTTCCGAGTTCCACCATCTGAAGAAATGGGGCATGTCGGTGTGTGTTGCTAGGCAACGTCCTCAGACCTCCGAGTCAGATGGATAATCGAGTGCACCATATTTCTTCTGGAGGTTCTTGTAGTATTTCCTCTGGAAGGTCCAGGTTTGGTGTAAATAAGCTGTAGGATCTCAGAGGTCTACTGGAAACAGGAAAAACAAAGAGTTCATTTCTTTTAACTCACCCTAACTCTTCGAACTGCACTTCTTATTTGGTTCAAATCCCATGATATGAAGGTAAAAATTGAACTCAAAACCAAAATGTTTCTGATTGGACGTGAAACTTGTCCTAAAGGTGTCGACTGTTTGTCTCCATAGGTTCAGATACACTCAATGCAATAACATCACCTGGAGATAAGCGGCAGAAAAGTTCCACAGTGCATCTTTAATAGCCTGATGTATTTTGATAAACCGTTCACCTTCTTGCTGTGAGGTTCATATTATTGTGCTGAAGAGTGTTTCCGTTCAAAAGTACAGCCAAAGTCAAAGTCGTGTCCTCGGTCTCTCAGCTCCTCACTGATCACCAGACCTAAATTGGCTTTGTCATGTTGTTGCATCACTTAGCTCATTAGCATGTTAGCTGTTAGCTTGTTAGCAGTTCTGAGAGGTGCCGGGGGAGGGGATGTTTCCATGACGACAACCACAACATGCCCAAGTGATGCTGCGAATAGAACCCGTCTCATCTATAATTTATGTGAAAGTCAGTTTTATTAATGTCACGATGAAACATTTATTTAAGAGAAAAACTTTGGCTGTTTTGGGTTTTGTCGTAGTTTAGTCGTAGTATAAATGTTTGCTAGTTAAGCCAGTGTTTGAAGGTTCAATTCCTGCTTTCAGTTCTGTTCTTGAGCAAGACACTTCTGCTTTGCCCTGATTTCCAAATATTATTATTATATTCCCTATTAGTCCCTGAATTATCAACCAGTTTCTACAAATTTATAGATCTGTTGCAAGATTCTTAATCCGTGTGTCATTCGTTTATTCGTTTTTCAAAGTAAAAGCAAAAATTTAAAAATGAAAAAAAATTATTTAAAAAAACATTTTCTTCATTATTTATCTTCAAAACCAAAATGAAAAATGGATAACGATTCATTTTTTCAGTTTTTTGTGCTTAAATGAAGAATGGAAAAAACAGATAATGGACGTTTCTATTTTCCGTGACTTAAACTGTGATGCCAGACTGAACCAGGACTAAACCAGGACTAAACCAGGACTAAACCAGGACTAAACCAGGACTAAACCGCTCTCAGTCCTGGTCTCAGTCCTGGTCTGGTCCTGTCTCAATTCCAGTCTGGTCCCAGTCTCTGTTCCAGTCTAGTCCCAGTCTCAGTCTCAGTCCTGGTCTGGTTCTGATACTCAGTCCTGGTTCCGTCCTGGTTTGGTTTTATTTTGAAAAACAAACAAATGATACATGGATTATTCTCACAGAAATTGTCCAAATTCCAAATTGTCACGAGATTTCATAAATTTTTTTTCATCTTACTGCAAAAAAAAAAAAAATCAACAATAATGTATTTACCAAGATTCATTTCATAATTTTCTCAAGTTGCATGTAAATTTTTAATAAATTCATAAATTTGACAATTAAAGTATTAAAGGTGCATTATGTAACTTTCCTACTTTTCTGGTGGAATATTTTATTGCCTTTATGTTCCGCAGTACGGCATTAAACTTACTCATGTCCATGTAAATAATCAAGCAGGTAATGCCACTCTGCCAAGTTACAGGTCAGATCTGTGAGAAGGCCTGGTTTTCAAGATATTTTTTCAATCAATAAAAATGTAAATTGTTGAATAAATGCAAAATATTAGGTGAAATGTTCCAGGCAAAGCAATAGATGTCAGAAAAGTTACATAATGGACTTTTAAATCGTACTATTTTGTGTCACGTAAACAGAAGATGAAAACAGCTCGGTGTGTAGAGTGAAAAAGGAGCCGGTGTCCCATATGGGCAGATGTACGTCGCCGTGCTCATTACAGATGCTAAAGCGACTAACGAGCTGCTCCCCGCGGACCGCACACGACTCCACACACTTCACACTGTTGGACCACCTGTTGCACTCTGGGAAATCTGCTCCAACGCTCCCCATGGGTCCCTGTGGAGGAGCAGAACTCAACAGGGACTAAACCAGGACTAAATCAGGATTGAAACAGGACTAAAGCAGGATGGAACCAAGACTAAACCAGAACTAATGCAGGACTAAACCAGGACTAAACAAGGGCTGAACCAAGACTAAACTAGGACTGAGCCAGGACTGATCATGGACTAAACCAAGACAGACTATGGACTAACCCAGGACTGAACCAAGACTAAACAAGGACTGAACCAGGACTGAACCAGGACTAAACCAGGACTAAATCAGGATTAAACCTGGACTGAACAAGGACTAAACCAGGACTAACCCAGAACTAAAGCAGGACTAAACCAGGACTAAATCAGGATTAAACCTGGACTGAACCAGGACTAAACCAGGACTAAACCAGAACTAAAGCAGGACTAAATCAGGATTAAACCTGGACTGAACAAGGACTAAACCAGAACTAAAGCAGGACTGAACCAGGACTAAATCAGGATTAAACCTGGACTGAACAAGGACTAAACCAGAACTAAAGCAGGACTGAACCAGGACTGAACCAGGACTGAACCAGGACTAAACCAGGACTAAATCAGGATTAAACCTGGACTAAACATGGACTAAACCAGGATTAAACCTGGACTGAACAAGGACTAAACCAGGACTGAACATGGACTAAACCAGGACTAAACCAGAACTAAACCAGAACTAAAGCAAGATTAAACCAGGACTAAACCAGGATTAAACCTGGACTGAACCAGGACAAAACCAGGACTAAAAGTGGGATCAGTCTGGACTAATCATACTTGGAAGAAATCTCTGCATATTAGCTAATTGTCTTTGAGTTTACTGAAATAAAATGTGTTGATTAAAACATTTGAGGTAGTGTAGGATTTATACGTTTTACCCATTTCTATTCAATAAATCGAAAAACTGTGCAATTCAAACACATTTAACTGAACCATGTGGTATTTTTCATATCAGAATAATAAAGAACATTCATTTATTTTCATGTCAAAATACTTTATTATTTTAAAATGGATTTGTGTTTTAGGCAGTAAAATAAACTACTACTAATACTATCACACAATTAAACGCAATTTCGCTGCTGTTTTTCTTCCCAAACATCTGAATGTATATTTTAGGAATGGGAAAACTGCCATGAGATTGTGCACTCAGGCTGAAAATGATCTCGTGAGATTTTTTCCCTTGTTTTTATGTTTGGCTTGGATAAAAAAAAAAAAAAAAAAAAAAAAAGAGGTTAAATACTGGTGAGTTACTTATTTTGAGAAGCTGTAATCTCAAAAAGCGCTGCTACAATGACAACAAAAATATTAAAGTACAGTGAATCAAACATGCTGAGACCAAAACTGGGAACTTCACTGCACAATGTATTTATTGTAAGTAATGTCAAAAATCTCGTCTTGTCTCATTCTTGTAGATCCAATCTTATGTCTCATCTCTTATCGTGGAAATTATATCTTGTCCCACCTCTAGAATATTTTAGAAAACAAGCACAATCAGAGATATCAACCTGGTCCATGAGGCGTCGGTGGGTCAGTTCATCACCTCAGAAGCAGTTTATGAGGAGCCCAGCCCATATTACATGATCATTATATCCACAATACAATGTGTGTATCTGTACAGACCCATGAACATGTGTGTGATCTTGGTCACACATGAGAATGTCTGTGTTTACTAGTGTGTAACCAAAATGTCATTTTTCAGGAGCTGTGTGTATGTTAGTTGTGTGACTGTAGATCAGTGTGTCGTGTATCACCAAAAAACAAGAAATGGAAGTAATTTTTGTTCCAATTAGAATTTTAAAGAAAGAGAAAGAGAAAGGAACTGTTCTAATTAGTGATTATCTGGAAAACTATTAATATTTGACTATACAAATGCATAGAATTATAAATAGATCATAATTTTTCTGAGATTTTGAGACACTCCTGTTGCTCGAGCTCGATCCTTCAGAGTTATGACCAAAAACGCATGTTTGGCCTTCAAGTGACCTTGACTGGTTTTAACCTGTAATATTCAGTGTACCCCGGTTATGTGTGTGCCAACTTGTGTGATGATTGGGTGAATATTTTAGGCCGCAGATGGTTTAGAAATTGCCTAAATTGCCTATCCTTTATAATGGAGTGACATTTCAATTGACCCGTGTGACCTCAAATGACCTCAGATCATCACCAAACTTTTTTTTGCGGCATCGAGCACGGGGACTTGACCCACGTACCAAGTTTGGTGACAATCGGTCCATAAATGTTGGAATTATCAAGGGTGGACAGACACACACACACACACACAGAGTGAATAAAAACGTAGTCAACCCTTCGGGGACCAGGTAAATGAGAAGACAACAAAACGGTGGAAAAAAAAGTTGGCTCCATGAATTGAAAATATTTGGTCCTTGGAAAAAAACAAACAAACAAACAAACAAAAAACAAAAAAAAAAACGTAAGAAAACTGCTTGCTTACTCACAGTGTTTTGTTTTTCCAGCCCACCAACGGCACAGAGGCTCAGAGTGGACTCCACCCCCTCACCCTGGACCCTCCTCCTCCTCCTCCCCCGCCACATCAACCGGACGAGGGCTACACCCCGAGCTCCAGACAGTACGGCTCCCTGCCCAGGTGAGACCCCACCCACCACCCACTCTCTCCACCTGTCACACACCCATCATCCACTTGCCATCCATCATCATGTTTGTCTCTGTGACAGTGTATTTGATGTGCTTGTGTTTCACTGCATGATATTAAACTTAACTACTGTAGTTTTTCCGAAATATAAGCCGCTACTTTTTTCTCACACTTTGAAATGCGGTGGCCGGCAAGTGCAAAACTCTTTTACATTTCACAATACACATTAACAAGTTTGAAAACAAAATTATATTTAAAATACACTTTTACATCTTGAAAACAAATTCATCTTTCATAAAACACATTTGCAAATGAGCAAACAAATTTACAAAACATGAAAACAAGCATCGAGACAAATTTACAAAAACACAAACATAAACCCCTAAAACAAGTTAACAAGTCAAAAGTTTCTTACGACAGAAAGGAAATGTTCTAAAAGGGCGGAAATGACCAACGACCGTAACATTAGTTTTGCTCAGGAGAAGTTCTCTAATGCTAGTCATTGTCAGCCTTAATGTTTTCGTCTTTCTCACCTTGACAGTTGTGGATAAATTCTTCATGGACAGATTATGTTCTTTGGGGAATATGTTCTTGTTGGTTGAAAATTTGTTGATGGGGCAGATTTATGAAGCTGGTGGAAAATACGCAACAGGACTGCGGCTCTTTCTGCAGGAGACATGCGCAGTAGTGCCGATCTCCAAGTGACGTAGTCTGATAATCCTGTTGTAATCCTGTCGTTTTACTGCCGCATTACAAGCACTGTTTGGAAAAAGCATTATTTAAGCCGGTATTTAATAAAAAAAAATTAAAAAGTAAATATCTCAAGTTATAACGTGGACACCTGCGGCTTATAGACATGTGCTTTTTTTTTTTTCTTTTAAAATTTAGTTGATGCGGTTTATATTCAGGTGCACTCAATAGTCTGGAAATTACGGTATTTCCATGGAAACAAACCGAAGATGCCACCAAACCAAGATACTGGTCAGATCTGTGTCGAGGAAGGCCTGCTGACTGTAGGTGTGAACATTCTTTGAGCAATAAAAACATCCTGAATGGAATGGATGGTAGATTGATATGTTTAATGCCACACTGTGAAACATTTCAGGAATAAAAACAAGTAACATCTCCATGGAGCCCTGTACCTGTTACACAATACACCTATAAACCAAGTCTGCCTAGATCTCCAAAGCTCAAAATGCTCTGTCCCACCTTGTGATGTCATGAAACAAGTTAACAGCTACTTTTTACCTTTAGTTTAGTAGAGTTTGGCAAAAAACACAATGGAGCACTTCTGTGACATCACAAGGTGGAGTTTTCCTTTCAGTTTGAGCCTAAATCTGCAGGGTTTGTGTGTTAAACATGTTTGAATGAAACAAAACACAACTCCAGGTCTGTTTGGGATGAAAAACAGTATTATATCATGTCGGAAAATAGTTTAATACGAGCCCTTTAAGAAAACCAAACACAACCGCCAACGCGATTCAGACTGAACTTTTATTACCAACTCTCAGTCACCCTTGATACAAACATTATCTCCATAACAGAAATATGAGGAAGAATCATTTTCAAAAGCCCAGACAGCCACTGATTTGACTATAACAGACCAGAAAAGCCAATGACAACATATCTTGGGGGTCAACTGTGAATTAATGAAGTATTTCTCCGTCCGATCACATGAAAAGATTGGATTCAAAAGAGTATGCTTATCTGAGGTTTATAAGGGACTTGAAAGGGTCTTTGAGTGAGCAGAGATATGAGGAAAAAAGGCACAAGATTTACATTGATGGAAATAGGAGAGAAAAAGTAGTCCAAAGCGTTGAAAAGGGCAGAGAGGACGTGATAAGGCACAGACAGGAGGGGGCGGCGGTGAGGGAGGTGGCGGTGTTGGGGTGTGTTGAAGCACAGACAGTATTCACAGTATTCTCGAATGTAAACGAAATCTATACATGTGTAACTCTTATCAGATTTTTACTGTCTTAAAAGCGTGAAAAACAGAACTAGTATTTTAAACAGTTTGCAGTGGTCCAAAGTTATTCCTCATTTACCTTAAGCGTGTTTTTCTTTGGTCACATTTTAAAATTTAGATTCCAAAAAGTTTATTGTCAATTTTTCATACAAAACGTATGAAGAATCGAAATTGTGTTTCTCACTCTCAAGCATATAAATACATAATAAGGCTACGTTCAGACTGCAGGGCTTAATGCTCAATTTGGATTTTTTTGTGAGGTTGTTCACATTTCCAGTTACAGTATTTTCCGCACTATAGGACGCGCGCTTAAGCCTCCAACCCCATCAAAAAACCACCACACGCCCCGCAATCCAGAGCGCCCTCTACACGAATCCACTCGGGTGTCCCAGCACGACTTCAGTAAACTACAAAGTCCTGGTTCAGTCCTGGTTCAGTCCTGTTTTAGTCCTGGTTTAGTCCTGTTTTAGTCCTGATTCAATCCTGTTTTAGTCCTGTTTTAGTCCTGGTTTAGTCCTGTTTTAGTCCTGTTTTAGTCCTGGTTCAGTCCTGGTTCAGTCCTGTTTTAGTCCTGGTTCAGTCCTGGTTTTAGTCCTGTTTTAGTCCTGGTTCAGTCCTGTTTTAGTCCTGGTTCAGTCCTGTTTTAGTCCTGGTTCAGTCCTGGTTCCTGTTTTAGTCCTGGTTTAGTCCTGTTTTAGTCCTGGTTCAGTCCTGGTTCAGTCCTGTTTTAGTCCTGGTTCAGTCCTGTTTTAGTCCTGGTTCAGTCCTGTTTTAGTCCTGGTTCAGACTAAGATTCACATTTATTTCTTACAGTCCTTTTGTTTTATTGACATATTCAAAATATTAATACAGCTTTTTAAAAGTAAATATTCATATTGATCTTATTATGGACTTGGTGTCATGACATATTTCAGCCACTGGGGGGGCAGTGCCATCCCTGACCCTCGCAAACTCCGCCTTTGGTGCCGCCCATAGTCTTGGCGCAGTTATGACGGCGCTCGATGGCGTATTTATGCGGGTTGATGTAAACAAAACCTTTTTTGAAAACGACGCTATGTCCACAATATTATCTTAACAGACCCGGCCATGCGTAAACGTAGCCTCATTAACAGGACGCATGTTGATTGTGTTGTGATAGTGTTCTGAAGGGGGAGTGACTTAGCCTGGGAAGCAAAGGCAGGGGAGACTCAGAGCATCAAAAGCCAAACTGAAACTTTTAAAACATGTTAACCTCAAATTAATTTTTCGTATCAGGAAAAATCTGATATTTGGGGAAATGATCATATGGGGCAGTAATATACAATCCTGACTTTTGTTTGAGAGACCTTCACATGCAGTGTGTTCTGGGATGTTGCAGATTTGCAGCATTGGTCCAGTGTGGTAAATTAACACTGAAGACTGAAAATGATATGAATACTAACTTTATTTGTAAACCACTTTTCGTAACAATGACAACATAAAGCAGAGTGTAACAGCTTTACAGCGGCAGAACAACATCACTTTTTCGTGTGGTGCTCCAAGAAACAATTTTTATCCTTTGTAAACAACAAAAGTACTTTGCACTTCTGGCCGTTTGCGTGTAGCCATTCTTACACAGTCTGCATCGTCCACGTTTATCAGCATGGATGGGAAAAAAGGCTCCTGAGTAAAAAAGGCTCCTAAAATATAGATGTGGAGTAAGTAGGTTGTTGTTTTTGGTGAATATAGGATTTTCAAAACAATAAAAGGTAACATGGTGATCTAAATCTGTCATGTGTGAGCAGTTAATACTCCATAGAAGTGTGAAACCTCGTCTTTAAACACACGGGGTGGAAAAAAATGAGTACAGGCCCTTTACGTAACGCAATTACATCTCGTCTGTCATTCACAAAGTCGTTTTTCACTCACATTTGGACGATCGTGAAAAGCTTTCGTGCAAAAAAAAAAAAACTGTTGCAAATCTGGACTGACAGAGCAAAACAAACTCGAGCGAGGAGAGCAGTGCGGACGCGGCGAGGCTCCGAACAGCTGCGGAGTATCACCATTTAAGAGACAGACGGCCCCGTTCTACCACAGACGTACAAGAGCCAAATGTTAGCTTTGGACTGGCAATAACATTGTTTTAGGGAGGAATGCGCAGGAAGTCCTTTGATTGCTAGCTCCAGACAACAGCGAGAACAGTTTAAAGAGCCTGTGTTATGCTAATGCGACTTTTGTGGAGTTTTTTTGTTCTGAAGTTTGGTCCTTGATCAAAAACAGAAGTTCATGTTTTGGGTTGCAAATGCGCTCACCACCGAACTAGTAGCTGCTTTGGTTTAGTGCACAGTTTGGCACCACTTTGAAATAACGACTCATAATGAACAAATATGGCGAAATGAAAACGATTCTGGCTTCTTAACTAATTAAAGGTGCGGTATGTTTTTAATGGAAATAGAAAATATGTTATAATAAAAATATTGTGAGCAAAGGAACAACGTTTCATGGGTAAACCTCCTGGTCAAAGCCTGGTTGGTACTTGGATGGGAGATCGCTGGGGTGTCACATGAGGGTGCTAGTGGTAAAACTGTTGTTGTGTCCTTCGGCAAGACACTCCACCCACATTGTCTGATATGAAAGTAGTGTGTGAGGGAAAGTCACAGGGGTAGGGATAGTTCAGGTTTTTTGACATGAATCTGTATGTCATCCCCGTGAGCAGTGTCGTACATCAACACTGACTTACCCCCACAGCGTCCGGTGAACCGAGATACTGGCCGTTTTCGGTGCTGACAAGGAGTCCGGCAAGTTGGCTGGGGACTGTATAATAAAGCGTTTTTCTTCTCAAAACAACATGTGTTCAAAAGAGTGATACATTTGCATCACAAAACCATCGTCCTCCAAAAAGTCAGACCTCATTATCGCTTGGCACTATTTTCTCTCCGTTCGTATCACTGCGCCCTGCCTCCATGTGGCAGCCGCGCCTGGTTCACAGCTTGGGCAATCAAGAGTCGCACCATTTTTTAGATATATTCTTACGTATCTTATACAAACTTATATACTTATGGCTCTAGCT